GTGGCAGCTGGGAGGCACTGCCTCCCACTTTCCTCCCTGCAGTCGGAAGCCCCTCCTCCCAGAAGGATGTTGCGAACTGGCCTGCAGGCCACCTGGGAACTTTTGGAACCTGAGAAAGATCTCAGTGGTTGGTCTTTCGCATCCCGCACTTGAGAGAAATCCAAGGCTGCTCTCTGGGGCTTGCTCCCTCTACAGGGGTGTCCTGTATGGAAACAGGTAGAGGCAGCAGTGGACTGGTCTGTTGCCTTCCATCTGTGTGCTTGGAGTGAGCGGGTACCAGAAACCGAAAGAATTGCTGAGGGAGCCTAGAGCTTCCACTCTTCCTCTGCAGGGTTGGGAATGGAATGAGGGCTGTCCTGGATTCCACTGCATGGCCTTGAAGGAGACCTGCCTCTTTCTGGGCCTCGGTTTCCTCCCCGACACCAGGGCTCACCCATGCTGGGAGCCTCAGCCTCCACCCCCGTGTTTCGGGGGAGCCACCCTGCAAGTCATCCGCCCAGAGCCGTTGAGATAGGCGTCCTGTGTGGGCTTGCGGCAGGAAATGGGCCCCTGCACCCTCGGAGAGGGGGAGCTGCTGTTGGCCAGGCCCCAGGCTGAGGGGGACTGCCTGACCTTGTTGCCCTGCAAACCAGCTGGGTTGTTTGCCTAGGAGGTGGCCAGGCTAGGCAGCTGTTTGTGTTTGGTGGAATCACCGAGCTGGGTGGGTAGCTGGCATCGTTTGCTCAAGGCAGCTGTGATCTGTAAAGTACACAAAGACTGGTCCTGTCTCCCTCCTTCCTACTCTGGGGCTGGGACCCAGGAGCCAGGGAGGAGTGCAGGCTCCAGAGACCTCCTATCCCCCACCCCTTCATGTGTTCCCTGGCCAAGCGACATTGGCAGGAGAGTTGGTCCCCAGCCTCCCCGGGCCTGTCCCAGGGGACTGAGTCCAGGACCCTCTGAGAAAGCCTGGCAGGAACTCCTTGGACCAGACTAGGGGTGACGGGGCCCACAGGCGGACAGTTCCCACCCCTGGGCCACTCTTCCCTGGGTCTTAGGTGATTCACCACGATGATTGGCCCTAGCCATTAACAGACTCTAGAAAGACCTCAAAGAAAGTATCCCTCCTCCTTCTACCCACTATGGAAACCATGCCACAGAAAGGTTAAGGAATCTTCCTAAAGTCACACAGTAGGCCATTGACAAACCAAGACCCATCCTTCATACCCCTTCTGCTCAGCCAACCCTGCCCCTCCACCAGAGTTAACCAATCCCAGTACCCCATGCCACAGCAGGAATGCCTTTGGGCTCCACTGTCAAGTTCAGAACCTCAAAATAATTAAAACCTAGTCCCCACCCAATCCATTAAGCCATCTAACCAGCAGTTGGGAAAATTCCAGCATTGGATCTAGACCCCTGTTCTCCAAGACTGGAGAAGACGGGACAAAGTGCTCCTCTCCACCATTCCTGCATGTCCCTGGGAAAGATGAGCAGAGCAGAGCAGAGCCAGACCGTAAAGGAGAGGGCCACACCCCCTTCATAGGTTCCCTCCTTGGTACTCCTGCTACCCACAGCAACCCCAGGATGCCAATCTGCAGCCACGCGTCCCATGTGGCAGGTTTCTGCTGAAAGAACTTCCGACTACATCTCCCCACTTTAGTATAAATTTCAACCTTCCCTAATTCATGCAACTTTTTTTTTTTTTTTTTGAGAGACAGAGTCTCGCTCTGTCACCCAGGCTGGAGTGCAGTGACGCAATCTCAGCTTCTGGGTTCAAGCTACTCTCCTGTCTCAGCCTCCCGAGTAACTGGGATACAGGTGTGTGCCCCCACTCCCGGCTGGTTTTTTGTATTTTTAGTAGAGATGGGATTTCTCCATGTTGGCCAGGCTGGTCTCAAACTCCCGACCTCAGGTGATCCTCCTACCTTGGGCTCCCGAAGTGCTGGAATTACACACATGAGCCACCGCACCCGGCCTCATGCAACCTTTTAATAAACATAAAATGTCATTAGAAACTTCCGGTTGGGCGGGGTGGCTCATGCCTGTAATCCCAGCACTTTGGGAGGCTGAGGCAGGCGGATCAGCTGAGGTCAGGAGTTCAAGACCAGCCTAACCAACATGGAGAAACCCCGTCTCTACTAAAAATACAAAATTAGCAAGGCGAGTGGCGCACACCTCTAATCCCAGCTACTCAGGAGGCTGAGGCAGGAAAATCATTTGAACCTGGGAGGCAGAGGTTGTGGTGAGCCAAGATCTCGCCATTGCACTCCAGCTTGGGCAATAAGAGCAAAACGAAGGAAGGGAGGAAGGGACGAAGGAAAGAAATTTTGTGATCCCCCCAAAAAAACCCCAAACAGTAGTCATTATAGAGTATGCAAATGACCATGCCCCACCCCCAGTAGATTTTGATAGACTCCTTTGGGTGGGATTCCTTGTCCAAGATATTGACACTTCCCTCTCCTGTCAGTGTAGCCCAGCCCATGCGTGTACTCACGAGTGGACAAGGGATGACACGAGTACACAGAGGGACGGAATCCCTGCATGGTGTGGCTATGAGCAAATGTGGCCAGTGTCTAGATTGTGCAAATGTGATGGTTCTCTGGGGCCACAGAGCACACTTGGGGACCTGTTCATGGTGAGGTCTCAATTGGGGCCTCTAGGAACTTGAGTGAGGACAGGAGGGTCTAGAGGGAGAGCCTAGGAGGCTGAGCCAAGGAGCACAGAGAGGAAAGGCAGGGTGAAGGCGCTGGCAGGCTTTCTGGAAGCAGGTGCCCCTTGGTGCGGTCAGCATTCATGCCAGCCCCCTCTTCTTCTCTGATCCTCTCCATGTGTCTCTCCTGAAATCCCAGAAGCTCCCCCTGACTCCCCATTAACTGCCTCTGCCCCTACCCCCTAGGTGATGCTTCTGGGAGACTCAGGCGTCGGCAAAACATGTTTCCTGATCCGATTCAAAGACGGGGCCTTCCTGTCCGGAGCCTTCATAGCCACCGTCGGCATAGACTTCAGGGTGAGGTGGTTGCAGGAGCCTGCTTCCAGCAGCGAGCCAGGGCTGTGGCTCAGGCACAGGGCGGTTGTCCCCCCTCCCTTGCTCACCCTGGCTCCCAGGGACTCCCGAGGCTCATGCCTGAAGGGCACACAACTCGCTCCCCCAGGACCACAGAGGTGGCTGGGTCAAAGTAGACTGGGCAAGGTTGGCTCCTTGCCCAACTATAGGATACAAAAAAATTAGACTGAGTCTTCGTTTCCACCTCCATTCCTGGGGAACTTCTCCCAAGCAAGGCAGCCGCAGGCATGGCATAAGCTGAATGTCTTGGCCCACAGAGGCCCTGCTCATTGCCCTCCTACCTGGGCCCCTTTGGCAAGACCTCAAAAGTCAATTAGCCTTTCTGGAGTTCCCGGGAAGCATAGCCCTGCACTGGGTTTAAGAGCTGGGCTTGGGCCAGGTGCGGTGGCTCACGCCTGTAATCCCAGCACTTTGGGAGGCCAAGGCGGGCGGATCACAAGGTCAGGAGTTCAAGACCAGCCTGGCCAACATGGTGAAACCCCGTCTCTACAAAAAATACAAAAATTAGCCGGGTGTAGTGGCACGCTCCTGTAGTCCCAGCTACTCGGGAGGCTGAGGCAGGAGAATCATTTGAACCCAGGTGGTGGAGGTTGCAGTGAGCTGAGATCGTGCCACTACACTCCATCCTGGGTGACAGAGTGAGACTCCATCTCAAAAATAAAAGAAAAGAAGAAAAAAAAAGCTGGGCTTGACCGGGCACAGTGGCTCACACCTGTAATCCAAACACTTCGGGAGGTCGAAGCAGGAGGATCACCTGAGCTCAGGAGTTCGAGACCAGCCTGGTCAACATGGTGAAACCCTGTCTCTACTACAAATACAAAAAAATTTGCCAGGCATGATGGCGCATGCCTGTAATCCCAGCTACTGGGGAGGCTGAGGCAGGAGAATCTCTTGAACCTGGGAGGCAGAGGTTGCAGTGAGTCGAGATTGTGCCACTGTACTCCAGCCTGGGCAACAAGAGCAGAAACTCTGTCTCAAAAAAAAAAAAAAAAAAACAGAGCTGGGCTGGCCATGTGGGGAGACAGCAGCTCACCAGGGACCCTCCCTCTCACCTTGACGGCTCCATCTCACAAATCCGCGTCAGGGATGCTGGGCGCTGCACACCCAAAGTGTTCAACAGAGGAAAGGTCTCACCCTGGCAGGCGGGGCTCTACAGCTCCAAACAGGCAGAAAGCGAATGCTTCCTTCACCAGATAATTAGTGGGCAGCTAAAGAAAAGATGCTGCTGGCCGGGCGCGGTGGCTCAAGCCTGTAATCCCAGCACTTTGGGAGGCCGAGACGGGCGGATCACGAGGCCAGGAGATCGAGACCATCCTGGCTAACACAGTGAAACCCCGTCTCTACTAAAAAAATACAAAAAACTAGCCGGGCGAGGTGGCGGGCGCCTGTAGTCCCAGCTACTCGGGAGGCTGAGGCAGGAGAATGGCGTGAACCCGGGAGGCGGAGCTTGCAGTGAGCTGAGATCCGGCCACTGTACTCCAGCCCGGGCGACAGAGTGAGACTCCGTCTCAAAAAAAAAAAAAAAAAAAAGATGCTGCTGCAGATGTAGCCTCAGGTCCCCAGGATGCAGGCAAGCACCCCATCTCCAGGGGCTTGGTCATAATCCCAGGACCAGGCTCCAGGAGATGGAGACTGAAGTGGGGAAAAGGCAGGGCCTCCAGTAGCACCCAGCCCTCCAGCCCTGGGCTGCCTGATACCTGGAGAGAGCCAGGAAGCTTCTCAGGCTCCTCTTGGCCTGCTGTTGTGAGAAGGGCAGATACAGTCCCCAGAAGAGACGACTCCACAGTGGAGGTGTCTGCAGATGGCATTCCTGCTGCCCTGATGGTATGATGTGGCTGGAGACAGTTCTGGGGCTCGCTGCACCCACTCTAGGCCTGGAGAGGGACGAAGACAGGATGTCTGCAGAGCTGAGGAGCCACGCGACTCCCACCCTCCCATCCTCTGCCTTTTTCTGTTTCAGAACAAGGTGGTGACCGTGGATGGCATGAGAGTGAAGCTGCAGGTGAGACCAGAGGCTGGAGTTGGGGAGGGAGGATGGAGGACCTGCCCTTCCTTCTCACCCTGAACCACAGGAGGCCTGCAGCCCTGCCTTCTGCCTGGGGCAATTTCCTGTGGGGCCCATGAGAGGAAATGGCTTTTGTTTATTTGATGTCTGCAGAAAAAGCAGTTCCCAGGCACCCTCTCATCTGTGAAAGGTAGCTCCAAATGCCTTCAGACAAGCTTAGCCTCCAACCATCTCCTCCCCAGCTGCCTGGGCTTTATCTGCTCTTAGGAGATTGGACATCCCCAACCCCTGGGCTAGGGGAGAGGA